TGCAGATCTCCAGGAGTTTAGGAAGGCTTTATAATAGTAGAATAACATAACAGATATATTAAGTACATAGGGGAAATTTTGTCCAAACATGTCACATGTAAAGCATATGACAGCTTTAAGTTAACATGGTAGTTAAGCAAGCCAAGTTCAGGGAATTCTCTCCGATTTAAAAGTTCAGGGGGGCGAGGTGCAGAACGTTGCAATGTTCGGGGGATTTTGTGAAATTTACACTTAACTATAGGTTGTCTTGATTATTTCTCCCATTAAAGATAGACCTGACTGCACTGAAGTAGTGAAGTAAGCCATAAGTTCGGAGGAATCATTTACCAATTTTAGCTTCCTTAACAACAACTTAGTTCAGCTGTGGATTATTCATACCTATGCAACTAAACTCATCAACAAATGCATGATCCCTGGGAGCAGTGTCATCCAAGAAAGGATTGATAGCAGTCAATGCATACCCATGAATTTCATCATATACCCTTCGCTGCACCGGATCGCTCAAAACCTGTTCTTCCCTGATTTATATTAGCCTAATATATGAAATAGAATCGAGATACAATTTATACTTACAATATATGATGAACAACATCAAAGTTCTGATTGGAAATACCTACCTCATAAACCTCATTGATAAACATGCAAAAGTGTGTGATCTCCGGATTGTCCCCACTCAAATCAGGATGGCATGCTTTCATACAATTATAATATGCTTTCTTTATCTGCTGGGGACTCGCATCTGGCATCTGATATAGGATCCAGGCAATTTATTTAAATTAAAAATAAAAAACTTATGAATTAATCCTTTCAAATGGTTATGTTTTTTTCCTAGTTAATGAATGCAATTTCTCAGAAACAATTAATCAAGCAAAGAAAAGCTTTTGGTCATCGAGTTATTTCACAATGAAATATATAAGGAGATGCATGCACCTCTAGCATGAAATTATGCACCTAAAACTTTTCCAATCCAAAATAGATTCTCAGAAAATTCCAAAAATAACTGACATTTTTAGATTTACAAATATTAAATTTAGCCATAATTTCTAAAACAAAAATATTTATATCTATTCAAGAACATATTTTTATCAATTCTTCAACCGAATTAAACTAGACTTAAATTCTTTATAAATTATTTATAATCACATTAACTTTCCAACAAAAAATCGATGGAAAAAAAAAACAATCGCGATTAAAAGTTTACCAATCCGAGGACAGAATAGTAGTCGTCAGCACCACTTCCTTGGTTGGCGATCGAGTCCTCCGCCGTGGCGGTGACCCT